AGAGAATTTCAATTTTATTTTATAATTATCAAATTTTAGTTGAATTTTTTTTTCAATGAATAGCTAACTCTGTTTTTAATACATTTAATGATCTAATTGATAGAAATATTAAAAATCATTAATATAATAATAATGTAAAATTTAATATATAATTTATGCATTTAAATATGAAAAGTAAATTAGTAAGTTTGTTGTTTTTTTTAATAAAATTTATAACTTCTTTTGTTTCAGAAGAACATTTATTCAGTAGCGGTCTTTGGCATAATTTTTTTGTATTCTTTATGTCATTGGTTATGGTTATGTATTAAGTAAATAGTTTTCAGTTATATTTTTGGTATATATCAAGTTTTTTATTATTGTTTGCTGGCATTATTGATTTATTGAGTAATTTGGTTTAGAAATTATTCGCCTAAACAAAACACGATATAATTTTAATGTAATAAGACTTCTTTATATACTATATTTCGTATATAAACTCTATGTTTTCCTGGTATTTTTCTATTTTTTACTAAGATTTTTAGGTTATCAGATGAGTTTACTCTAGAAAATGCTACTTATAATTGTCCGTGGGTAAATACATGTTCGAGTAGATAAAGACCAACATGTGGTATTGTCTGTTCTTGTAATTTATTTATTGTGAGCACAAATACAAGTCTAACTGGAAATTGTTTTCTTTTTAGAATAAAAGGCATTTTAAAGTTTTCGAATAGCATCATTGGAATTCTGGAAAGAAAAACTCTCTTGTCATGATGTTCTCCTACAGCTATCTCAGCATCAATAACGTTTTTATGTAGTGTTTGGTATATTAATCATGTTCTATTGCATAGGCTATTTTTAGGATCCAAGTTACACAGACATATTATAGGTGCGTTAACTTTAAGTGTTAGTTGATATGTCAGTAGCTCATTAGAAGTTAGAGAATTAATAAATTCTGTTTGGTAGATGTTATTAGTGTTGTTTAGCACTGAATTATAGCTGTAATAAATTTTGAAGTTTTCATTGAATTGCTTGATAACTTTTTCATTTATGTAGTTAACATATTCATTTTTAGTCGTTAAAATCGCACGATCAATAATATACGAAGTATTATATATATTTTTTGAAAGTTCAGGATAAATATATTGAATGAGTTTTTCCAAAGATTTTTCGTGATTATCTTGCCAAGATATAGTCATTTGGTCAGAAATTCGAATTATATCCTCCTTAACTATTGGTTCAGTGCTATTACCAATTCGTAATAAAAAATTCATAAAATCATTGTTATTGTTTGCTCTCATATTATCAGATAAATGAAAAACTTTTATATTTAGCCATAATGGTGATTTGTTAAAGGAAGCATTTACGATTTGTGTTCTTGTTCCTTGCTGAACTACTGGCAAGACTTGACGGAAATCATCAACAAATATGATTATTTTACTACCAAAAGGATAATTATTTCTAGTAATATCTTTTAATGATCGATCTAAAGCCTCTATTGCATGCCTGTGTGTCATAGAAGATTTATCCCAGATAATAAGTTTCACTAAAAGGAGTAATTGGCCTACTTGACTTTGCTTGCTAAAAGTATATGATGAATTTGTATCAATAGGTATAGGTATTTTAAATCGTGAATAGGTAATATGACCTCCTGGCATAATTAAAGAAGCAATACCTGAAGAGGCTGTTGCTAATGCAATAAAACCTAATGATCGAATTATTGCAAGTATACATTTATAAAGATAAGTTTTTCTGCTACCACCCAGTCTGTCTATAAAAAATATGCCAGAACGATTATTGTCAACATAGTTAATAACTATATTAAAAATATTTTTTTGTGTTTCATTTAATGTTTGTATTTTTGTTAAATCTTTAGATTTTATTGAAATTGATAATTCTTCTCAGAGGAGAGTTTGTTGATCATCAACATAATCAGAATCAATCTTTAGTAGTCCATAATCATTTATACTTTTGTTATGTTGTTGAAGGAATTGATTAATATATTTAAGTACTGCGTTAATGTGCAACTGTCCTTCTGGTATTCCATTCATAGTAAAATCTTCAGACATAGCTTGAAAATTCTCGTTCCAAAGTTTTTTAAGATTCTCAGATTCTCTAAAAACTAAAATAGCTGAAAAGAGATTTCGTAATACATAAGGCATATGAAATTGTCTAGCTTCAGATATACATTTATGTAAGGATTTGTCAGATTCTAGTAGATCTCTGTGTTGTACACTTTCTTTAAACGTATTACATTGATAACTATTAACATATTTAAGATCATCATACGAAGTTGTACCGCGAATATGATTTAATAATAAATGCAAATAATATCTTTCATTTTCACTTAGGTATGCCGTGTATATTCTTTCAATAGCATTTTCCTTTTTCTTCTAGTCTATTTTTTACTTTGAGTATTCCAGATATAATGAGTTAGAATTTCAGCATATAGATAATTGTGTGCTTCTGGATCAATAGAATTTAAGTGAAAGTATTCTGTTAATGTAGTTTTTTTATTATTTTCATTCATAAGGACTTCAACTAATTTATTTTTTTCATTAAAATTAACAATTTGTTGATCCGGGAGATGTAGTTGAAGACAAACTATTGAAGGATTCATATCAAACATGGGAAATCCAAATATTCTTCAGTATGCTTCAGATGAAGAAATCCATCAGGCTTCTATATATTGATTAATTTCATTCACATTTTAATTTTTTTGTGGAGTAATGTCTGAATTCACTTCTATTACTGTTTTGTCATGACCTTTATAAACATATTTATAAAGGTATTTTACTGCCTTTATGCTTGAACAAATTTCCACATTTATATGACAATCATAACATAATAGTAGATACGGATTGTAGGGTACAACCTATTAATTGTCTAATAGTACATCTCTTATTATTTCACACTGACTATTATCTCTATGACAGTATTGTGAATAGGAGTTCGAATTTTTAGATGTAAAAGGGATAAATTCTTTTGGGTAATTTTTTTACATTTTTCATTTTTCATATATGAAGAATTTGGGTTAAAAATATCACAAGGACTATGTATCATGTAAGTAATAACTCTATTATATAATGTGGGTTCATTGTTTTTGTCAGGCAGTTCTGCACGTACTATAGTATCATAATCATCAGGGTTTCTTGGTTTGTCTGCTGAACATAAGATGATCAGTATATGTGCATGCAGGAGATCACGCTTCTAAAACTTAATTACGTAAATATAAGAAATAGTTTTTCCTAAGATATTTCTTTGAAAGAGATCTTTTTTTAGTTCTTCTAGTTTAGCTCTGAATACACGACCTAAATTAACAATCAAATAAATAAAAACAAAATTTTATTAAGATATATTTTTATATATATAACATAAATAATAGCTTATTCTAAAATTGACTTATGCTAAAACTCAGAATTCTATTTAAATCCATAATATTTTCTACTATACTTTTTATTAATTAATAATACTATTCTGATTTGATCTAATTATAAAAATTATAAAAATTATAAAAAAAAAAAAAAATTACAGAAAAAAAAAAAAAAGCTGATAACCCAATAGCCTAATAAAATTTTACATTTGATTATAAAGTTTTAGCATAAGACGATTTTAAGTTTTTACAATATACAATGTAAAAATTTAATTAATAATTGATATATAAAAAAAAAAGAAACGACCTAGTGAGATCAGGTCGGTCTGAGGATTTCTGTTCCGGTAGAAGATTTTCTAAAATCTCTGGCCATTTGGGATTACATGTCATTGTAATAAACAAGTCTAACTTTCCAAATGTTGGAACTAAAGCTATGGCATCTTGATAACGTTAGTACATATCTCAAGGTCCTCCACTAAATGAGGAAGGGAGAATAATTTGTTTTCCAATATTTGCTGTATTGGTATTTCTTGTATTGAATGAATCTGCCAAACCTGAATAAAGTTCACTTCTAATTTTAGGTTGATTGAAACGTAGATAATTAAGTCATTCATTTTCAATATTTACATAATTATCTACAACGTATTGTTGAAAAAGTCACCTTCCTAGGAGGATTAATGATGATGAATATTCTCATGTTTGTAATTTATAGGTATAATATTGCCTTGCTGTTACTTTTTTTAAATTTCTATTATTTATGCATACATTTTGTTCATTATTTGTAGAAGCAGTGAGAATACTAGAATGCTATCCATATTGTTCTCTTGGAAATAGAAGTGAGTATTGCATGAGATCATATGAACTACTAACTTCTGAGATTTTTTGAAGTTTGCTAAGTTAAGAATGAACGATTATATCTCGTTTTTGAGATTTGTTAGAATCATTACCTTCAATCCAAATAGTAGCTACTTGTGAAGCTATAGGAGCATTATATATATGTTGGTCTAATCTGTGGTCAGCTTTAATAATTAATCGATAATTATATATATTATTAAGTGTAGAAAGATGCCAGAAATTTGCAACAAAAGGATTAACCTCATTCAGTATATTTTTTATAGATTCAATGATTTCAGAGTAAAGATTAAGCATTATACACAATTGATTTTTAAGTTCGTGTTCTGTGTCATATACGTATAATTGCAAGTATTTCAGAGGATTATTAGTACACAGATAAAGAGATCTAATTGCGTGATATATGCTCTCTTATACACGAAAAGTATAAACACCATTTTTGTCTATAATATTATAGATTTATTTTATGAATTATTGTGATTATTATTAAATATAAATATATAAAGTATATACATAAATATATAAAGCATATATATATAAAGTAAATATAAAGTATTATTAAAGTTACTATTGGCTAGCTGTTGATCTAGATGAACATCCATAGAAGTAAAAGCGAAAAGAGCATTATAGGCTTGTATATTATTTCAAAATTCATATCTGATCTTATCTATTTTAATAAATAAATCTAGCAGAGCAGGGGGGGTTTCTTCATCACTTAATACAATTTTTCTATTATTACAACATAAACTATTAGATTCTCCTACAAATTTTTTCACTTCATAATAATTACAGAGTACATGAAGTTCAATATAAAATGGTTCAATATTATAATTATCATTAGTTTGATTTTTTCCTAAAAGATGCTGTATTAGTTTTTGATGACGATATTTATGCTGAGCTAATTTATTTTGTTCTCAGAATTTTTCTTATTCTATATTATTCATCGTAGCTTGGTATTTATGTTAGACTACCCTTTCTCGTTCTTGACGATATTCTCATTGTTAGTCGTTTTCGATAGCCTGACATTTACGATGAGCTAACTTGTCATGCTCTTTTCATTGTTCTTGTTCTATTTTAGTCTCCATGATATGATATTTGTAGCTAACTGTTCCATCACATTCTTGCCATTGTTTTTGTCTTTTCTTATTCTCTGGAACTTGATATTTATATTGCGAGTATGTTTTATATTTTTTTTTATTTTCTATATTTAAATAGCTTTGCTTTTTTGTATCTGATACTTATATAATATCTATACTGCATTGTTATCATTTCTTATTTCTTAATCGATATCATTTCTCAATTCAGGTATTTATATATTTGTTTATTTAGTAGTATAAGATTCATTCAATTTATTTATCTATTTATCTGTTTAATAAAGGTCAATATTGCATCAAGGTTAAAATAAAATTTAAATGATCTTATCAATAATCAAACTTAGTTTCACATGCACGAGCCTTAATGTTAATGATTTCACAAATTACATAAAAGTTATTTAATAAAATTTTACATAGGATTATTCAGTGTTTAATCAAACCCAAATTCATATGCACAAGCATTAATTATTTTATTAATTATACAAAAATTATTTAACAAAATTGCTAATTTTTATGTAATTATCCAGTATTTATCAAGCTTAAGTTCACATAATTGTATGCATTGAGGCGCAATAATCTTATATCATACTATTAATTTTATATCGACAAATATATAATGTCGAGTAATTAATGAGTTACTTATTTAAGATTAATGTGCATAATTAACACGTAATAATTTTTTTTATTTTTATGTAATTATCCAGTATTTATCAAGCTTAAGTTCACATAATTGTATATATTGAGACTCAATAATCTTATATCATACTACTAATTTTATATCGACAAATATATAATGTTGAGTAATTAATGAGTTACTTATTTAAGATTAATATGCATAATTAACACATAATAATTTTTTAATTTTTTTAATTATTTATATCACATAACATATACGTATAATAAAGGTCTGGCGATCTTAGTGTAGTGGTTAGGTTGCCAGACCGCCATGCAAGAGGTCTGGGGTTCAAATCCCACT